TTTTAGAGTTTGTTACACAAGGATGACAGTAATTCACAGCAGGACTGCTGTTCACAACCTTTCCTGTATTTCAATGAAGAAGCATTTATTATTCCAGTTTTTATCTGTATATTTCAAATCTGAATACAAGCCATCTGTGTGCTAAAGAGCTCATGAGGCCAATGAGTTTAGGAGGGAGTAAATGAGACTTGATGGAAAACTATTACTGAGCTCCCAAGCCAAATTAGCCCACAAGTTTGAGGAAAAACTATCCCAGTTAGGTTTATGCAACCTTCCCAACATTTCCCGTTTCTCTATTTTTACAACACATTGCTACAGGAAAAGAACATGTGGTTGCTGTGGCAACTAAATGAGTCAAAGAAGGAGAAGCCTGTAATCTCGCATGTAGCATCTCACCTGACACACAATTACACAATATGATGCATTAAGGGTCACTCACTACCTGAGCAATGAGGGTTAATTTGATTTGTGTGGTCCAAGAAAAAAAAAAAAGATATGTCAAAGATTAGGTACAGGTATATGAATTATTGCTGTATACAATTTATACCGTGGTGTGACCCCCTTTCACCTTTAGAACTGCCTTATTCTTTGTGGCATTGATTCAACAAGGTGCTAAAAGCATTCTTTAGAAATGTTGGCCCATATTGATAGGATAGCATCTTGCAGTTGATGGAGATTTGTGGGATGCACATCCAGGACACGAAGCTCCTATTCTACCACATCCCAAAGATGCTCTATTGGGTTGAGATCTGGTGACTGTAGGGGCCATTTTAGTACAGTGAACTCATTGTCTTGTTCAAGAAACCAATTCGAAATGATTCTAGCTTTGTGATAAGCATTATCCTGCTGGAAGTAGCCATCAGAGGATGGGTACATGGTGGCCATAAAGGGATGGACATGGTCAGAAACAATGCTCAGGTAGGACGTAGCCTAAAGTGTGCCAAGCAAACATCCCCCTCACCATTACACCACCACCACCAGCCTGCACAGTGGTAACAAGGCATGATGGATCCATGTTCTCATTCTGTTTACGCCAAATTCTGACTCTACCATCTGAATGTCTCAACAGAAATCGAGACTCATCAGACCAGGCAACAGTTTTCCAGTCTTCAACTGTCCAATTTTGGTGAGCTCTTACAAATTGTAGCCTCTTTTTCCTAATTATAGTGGAGATGAGTGGTACCCGGTGGGGTCTTCTGCTGTTGTAGCCCATCCGCCTCAAGGTTGTGCGTGTTGTGGCTTCACAAATGCTTTGCTGCATACCTCGGTTGTAACGAGTGGTTATTTCAGTCAAAGTTGCTCTACTATCAGCTTGAATCAGTCGGCCCATTCTCCTCTGACCTCTAGCATCAACAAGGTATTTTCGCCCACAGGACTGCCGCATACTGGATGTTTTTCCCTTTTCACACCATTCAAAAATCCCAGTAACTCAGCAGACTGTGAAATACCCAGACCGGCCCGTCTGGCACCAACAACAATGCTGCCCTCAAAATTGCTTATATCACATTTCTTTCCCATTCTGACATTCAGTTTGGAGTTCAGGAGATTGTCTTGACCAGGACCACACCCCTAAATGCATTGAAGCAACTGCCATGTGATTGGTTGATTAGATGATTACATTAATGAGAAATTGAACAGGTGTTCCAAATAATACTTTAGGTGAGTACATACGCGTATATATGTGTGTGTGTCTGTCTCATAAAGCCCACATTTATTTGATCAAAAACAAAGAAAAAAACAGTAATATTGTAAAACATTATTACAATTTAAAACAATGTATTTCTATTTTAATATACTTTAAAATATAATTTATTTCTGTGATGCAAAGATAATTTTGGAAAAGTTGTGTTTCTGCTCAGTATTTGTTATAACCTGTTATACTTTTTCCAGGATTCATTTAAAAAAAAAACGAAGAAAAAAAAAACGCTTTTATTTAAAATAGAAATCTTTTTTAACATTATGCACATTATAACATTATACTAGTTTGGGGGTCAGTATTTTTTTTTTTTTCTTTTTTTAAAGAAATTTATTATTTTATTATTTTATATATATACACTATATAATTGATTAATATTGTGTCAATTGATAAAAAGTGATAGTGAAGAATTATATTCTTAGAAAAGTTTCTATTTTGAATAAATGCGGTTCTTTTTAATTTTTTATTCATCAATATTCATTCTATTCATTCAAATCCTGAAAAAAAGTGTCGGGCATACACTGCGATTTTCATCCGATTTTGAGCCGAATTCTGACTCGTTGCCCTAAACTCAGTGTTTTTTTTACCTCACTGCGCCTGCGCGAAAACAGAAGTTTAACATTTCATCTGCAGCAAAATTAAAATTAAAATAAAAATGAAAAGAGGGAGATCTTTAAGTTCTGTAGTTCAAACTAGCTACAAATTACTGTTGCTTACCTCCAATTTGTGTTGCAAAATGGATACTATTACTCACGTCTTCCAAGCCACCTGCGATGTAACACCTTATTAATTTGTCAAACAATGTTTTTGAAATAAACCTGTTTTTAATTTTCATTGATGATTAATTATGGCAATGACTGTAGACTGTTTATAGTTATTTTATATGCCTATAGCTAATTCATTGTAATCGAATGTAATGTGTTACTTTAACGATTTCTGTGTGTATTCAAGCACTCAGTTTAGTCTGTTTTGCGTCTCGTATGTAACGTGGTTGTGTTTTCCCCTGAGCTTATCCTGTGGTCATCTGTGGATTATATTAAAGACTGTTTCCTTTTGAGCCATTCATCTTCGTGAGCTACTTTACTGTGGCACTAGTCACGGCTGGTTCCAAAAAAATATTAAGCAGCAGCAAAACTGTTTCCAACATAATAAAACAGAATAGAATGATTTTAATGGCTGATGAAAATTCCGCTTTGCATCCAAGAAATACATTGTATTTTAAAGTCATTTAACTATTTATAATTTTACATCATTTTAAATTGCAATAATATTTCAGAACATAATCAAATAAATGCAGGCTTCAAGAGTGTAAGAAACTTCTTTCAAAAACATTCAAAATAGTAAGGCTTCCAAACTTTTGTCTGGTAACCTACTGTGTATGTATTTATACATATTATATATTGTATTAACTCTTGATGACTACACTGAAAAATGCTGGGTTGTTTTAACCCAATTTTGGGTAAAATATGGAGAAACCCAGCCATTGGGTTACATTTTTAAATTACATTTTAACCCAATGGCTTTGTCCATATTTTACCCAAAATTGGGTTAAAACAACCCAGCATTTTTTAGAGTGAATACATTTTTTTTTTTTTTTTTTGCATAGTAACTCTACACACAAACCATGAAATGATTAACCATACATGCCAAACTTCACACGAATATGACAAATGTAAAACACTATAAAGCAAATTGTAACAAATGGTTAACTAGTTAAGGCTGCAACTTCAGAAAGTAACTTCAAATCAACTTATTCTCAAACCTTCACTGAATAATGACATAATCTAGGAATGCACCGGTATGAACATTTTGGCCGATACCGATAACCGATAATTATTTATATTTGAAAGCCGATAACTGATATATCGGCCGATAAATCTAAATCCAATTATTTTAATAATTTTTAAGAGCCTGATTGCAAGAACAAAATTAAAATCCATTTCCCAATCGCACAATTATAATGTTCTCATTATAATTTTATGTAGCCGATATGACAGCACATTTTGTACTTAACTATATTTTCCTTTTTGATTCCAATCATATTTCAAGCAATTACTGTAAGATCAATCATGTTGAACAGTGTGCATCTTAAGTGCCTCAAGTGTCAAGTGTTGAAGGAAATAATTAGTTATTTATCAGCTTTAATATATCAGCCAAATTTTATTATCGGGCCGATGACGATAACATAAAAATTAACAAATATCGGCCGATACCGATATGGTGGCCGATATATCGTGCATCACTAGAATAATCATTTTAGTTATTTATTTACATCCTCATAATTCACAACATATAGAGTTATAAATCAATATCCAAATCAAGTGCCAGAGCTAAAACGGAGCATATTTTCAGAACTCTATCCCTATCTTTGATCATCAACATTACATATTTAAATGTTTATTTTCCCTTGAAACATTTTCTTCAGACCTTAAAATAGCTTAAAACTCTACACCCTTGCCTCATTTAGTATGTGTGGTTCGATGAATATGCAAATTAGCTCTGCCTCCACTCCCTCACACCAGCTCAGAGATCCACTCGTTGACGATCACAGGTTAACCTGATAAGTTACAATGTAGTTTGTGACGTCAGAAACACGGGTGATTTTTAAAACTGTCTTTGGTTCACTGCAGTTTTCAAGAGAAAATACTTAGCAATGGTGTTGACTGCACGGTTTGTCTTAAAGCATATTAGAAACACTACATAGACACATAAACAACACTAAAAGCTTGATTTTCACCACAAGGGGACTTTAAAGGAAAGCTGCACTTGTATCTTCTCCAGGGCTAGTTGCATAACTCAGCATTATGAATTCTTTCCACCTCCACACCAAGTCTCAAGTAAAACAAAAGATCACTTGCATAGAGAGCAGAGCAACAGGCATCAATCCATCGGCAGGTGAGCTAAAAATATTGCATCAGGGAGGGGTACACCTTCCTGTAGGGGGTCATTGAGGTCCCTCGAAATAATATGCCATTAGTGTAAATACTGTTGTTGCACCATGCTATTGGCAAAAAGCTAATGGAGTAAGAGCAGGAGCGCTCGGCTCAGTAACTAACACTCGAATAAGACAGACAAGAGGTTTCAGGCGCTAAGCTCCTCTTCAGCGAAGTGAAGGTAATCTAACCCAACACCTAAAAGAGAAAAGGCAGCTGGATTTCTCCTCCATTCAGACAAATCAATGTCTGAGAGAGAATTAAGTTTACAGTCAGTTCTTTGTGTTTGGTCCCAATAAACTGTTATATAAAGCTGAAGGAAGCAAACGCCAGAGAAAAGAGTTGCGCTGGGTGCCTGAGCAAGAGCTCACCTTTGATTCAGTCTCCCACTCACGCCCACCGCTGCCCTCGCACACACAGGACGGTGGCGATCTGATGGCGGGACCCATCGGCCCCTGCTAGCGAATGCCTCACCCAATAAACAGCTCCTCACTTCATGACAGAGGGAGAGGAGAGAAAAGAAAAAGGTCGAAATGAAAATCACAAAAATGACCGAATGAAAAAAATGATCTAAGGGGTTCATTTAATGTCTCCCTGAAGTCGCTTAAAACTCACCTTTGATCACCAAAATTACGTATTTAAACGTTTTTTTTTTCTTCAACATTTGTTATGCCTTAAAATAGCTTGAATGTAACTCTACACCCTTGCCTCATTTAGTATTTGCGGTTCTAATAATATGCAAATGAGGGCCGCCTCCACTCACTCACACCAGCTATGAGATCCACTCATTGACGCTATAGATTGTGACGTCAGAAACACCAATGATTTCAAATCGCGTTTTTGAGACTGTCTTTGGTTCACTGCAGTTTTCAAGAGAAAATACTCAGCAATGGTGTTGACTTATGAATTTGCACATGGTTTGTCTTATTCAAAACACCACATAGACATACAAACAACATTGAAAACAGACTATATGTTATACCATGCAAATCCAATTTGAATAAACAACCGTTTTTCAGTGGTACCAACCTTTAAAGGAGAACTCTGGCGCAAAATGAACCTTTGGCCTATTATTAGGCCAAAGGTTCATTTTACGCCGGAGTTCTCCTTTAAGAAAATGGTTTTAGAAAAAAATGCTCAACTGTCCAAATGGATGGCCATTATCCAACATGAACTGAACACTTCCCACTATATTACTCAGATATAATACTGTTCCAACAATAATGATAGAACATATCAATAAAAGTCAATTTAGAAATCATAAACTTCAATTAAGCTATAGATGTACAGGGCCAAAACTGACATTGACCAGTGCCAAATGTAAGTAAAATTAGGTTTTTGACAAGTAAATAAAAAGACGTTATTGGCCATAAAATGGATTATATTGCAATAGTGATACTCTAAAGAATCTGTCCATTTATTCTGATGGACCATTTTTGACATTCTACTAACTATAAGTAACTTTGCAACTACATGCCAACTACATCTCAGAGTATTAGTAGATTGTAGACGGTTAGGCTAGGGTTTGGGTTAGTAGAATAAGTTGACAAGTAGTTGTAAAGTTACTAATATCTAGTAAAATGTCTAAAGTGGACCATCGAAGTGTTACCAGGTCTTCTAACAATTTTTTCCTGAGTGGAAAGTTTGCCATCAGAAGTTTACTTTATAGGATGCCTAGCTTTTCTAATTGTGACGGAATTGAAAGACAGTAAGCAAAGTAAGTTAAAATAATAGAAATGATAAAACATAGGCTGTGTATGTTTAACTTTGTTAATTTCTTTAATGTATTAATAAATATCTGATTGTGGTGGTAGTAATGTTTATTTAAAAGATCCATTATTTATTTTTCTGTTTTTTTTTTTTTTTTTTAAGATTTACTGTTTATACTGTGTTTATATGAAGTATCAAGTTATGGTCTGGAGGGGTGGGTAAGTGAATATCGTAATTTTGATGAAATAAATGGAATATCAAAAGTAATTGTAAAATAAGTAATTCGTGGTCAGAACATTGTAGTGATTATCTCCATATAATTTCAAAGTGAAAATGATGATACTTTTTTAACTAATGGCAGGTAATCTTAAGTTTCTTCAAAATTTATATATTTTTTGATGCAAATGATGCAATAGAAAGAGTGACTGATATAAAGAAGAAAATAAATGGACAATTCAACATCCTCATCAAAGTATAGCCGAACATGCCATTGAATCACCATGGAAACTACTGCATAGTTCATAAAGCAAAATGTTGATGATTATGAGAGAAAAAAGGAGTGAATGCCTCCACTTTGATGCAGGGCAAACCTTTTTGATTAAGCAACTGATGAAAATACAATATAACAGATTAATGCTAGATTTAAGTCATCTTTAGGGTAACAGCCACTGTCACGAGACCAAATTAACCTTTGAATATGTGAAAATTCTACTAATAGTTTAGTAAACAAAACTAAGGAACACTTTATTTTAATAGAAACCTACTTTAATAGAGTAATATAATGCTAACTGAAGATATTTCTGTATTTTCTTGCAGAGTTCTGTCAGTACATCAGACAAGTAATACTGAGTATTTATGTCATATTGTTTCTATGGGAACTATAAAATCTATTTTTTCTCTCCTAAACTGACACCCAGTTTCTCTTAAAGGAGACTGAGAACAACATATTATCAGGATCACGTGTTAACTTAATTCAATTTATAAAAATACCATATAGCAATGTTACTGTACATAATATTTATGAGGATTTAAAGCCATCTTTAGATTTTAGATTCTTTATTTATTTCTAAAGTTGAGCTTGTTATTTCATTATAGCGTCACCAAACAGGGATTTGTCAAAAAACACTCATTCCACCTGCCATTAGTCGGCCAAACAGATAATACTGCCCTAAATGTACGCATTTTGTCAAATTAATGTTGCTGTGTCAGGCTGGTCAGTTTGCTTGCGTAACAAGGACGTTAACAAGGATGCTGAAGGCCAAAGCCTCTAGAGTCAGCTGCAAGTGCGCCTCTTGGGGACAGGGGAGTGGGGTTTACCTGCACAGCTCTTTTATAGCACTACCCACCCTCATAAATCTCACTCCTATCCGGGTCATGGCACCAATATAAGTGGTCCTCCATAACTTCTAGCATCAGTTGCTAGTGTGATTCTTAAGGCCAGGGGAGTGGGGTTTACCTGCACAGCTCTTTACTAGCACTACACACCCTCATAAATCTCACTCCTATCCGGGTCACGGCACCAATATAAGTGGTCTTCCAATAACTTCTAGCATCAGTCGCTAGTGTGACTCTTGAGGACAGAGGAGTGGGGTTTACCTGCACAGCTCTTTACTAGCACTACGCACCCCCATATATCTCACTCCTTTCCAGGTCACGGCACCAACGTAAGTGGTCCTCCCATAACTTCTAGCATCAGTCGCTAGTGCGACTCTTCAGGACAGGGGAGTGGGGTTTACCTGCACAGCTCTTTACAAGCAGTACTCACCCTCATATATCTCACTCCTTTCCGGGTCACGGCACCAACAAGTGGTCCTCCCATAACTTCTAAAATCAGTCGCTAGTGTGACCCTTGAGGACAGGGGAGTGGGGTTTACCTGCACAGCTGTTTATTAGCACTACTCACCCTCATAAATCTCACTCCTATCCGGGTCACGGCATCAACGAAAGTGGTCTTCCCATAACTTCTAGAATCAGTCGCTAGCGTGACTCTTGAGGACAGGGGAGTCGGGTTCACCTGCACAGCTATTTACTAGCACTACACACCCTCATAAATCTCACTCCTTTCCGGGTCACGGCACCAACGTAAGGGGTCTTCCCATAACTTCTAGCATCAGTTGCTAGTGTGACTCTTGAGGACAGGAGAGTGGGGTTTACCTGCACAGCTCTTTTATAGCACTACCCACCCTCATAAATCTCACTCCTATCCGGGTCATGGCACCAATATAAGTGGTCCTCCCATAACTTCTAGCATCAGTTGCTAGTGTGATTCTTAAGGCCAGGGGAGTGGGGTTTACCTGCACAGCTCTTTACAAGCACTACACACCCTCATAAATCTCACTCCTATCCGGGTCACGGCACCAATGTAAGTGGTCTTCCAATAACTTCTAGCATCAGTCGCTAGTGTGACTCTTGAGGACAGAGGAGTGGGGTTTACCTGCACAGCTCTTTACTAGCACTACGCACCCCCATATATCTCACTCCTTTCCAGGTCACGGCACCAACGTAAGTGGTCCTCCCATAACTTCTAGCATCAGTCGCTAGTGCGACTCTTCAGGACAGGGGAGTGGGGTTTACCTGCACAGCTCTTTACAAGCAGTACTCACCCTCATATATCTCACTCCTTTCCGGGTCACGGCACCAACAAGTGGTCCTCCCATAACTTCTAGCATCAGTCCCTAGTGCGACTCTTGAGGACAGGGGAGTGGGGTTTACCTGCACAGCTCTTTACAAGCAGTACTCACCCTCATATATCTCACTCCTTTCCGGGTCACGGCACCAACAAGTGGTCCTCCCATAACTTCTAAAATCAGTCGCTAGTGTGACCCTTGAGGACAGGGGAGTCGGGTTCACCTGCACAGCTATTTACTAGCACTACACACCCTCATAAATCTCACTCATTTCCGGGTCACGGCACCAACGTAAGGGGTCTTCCCATAACTTCTAGCATCAGTTGCTAGTGTGACTCTTGAGGACAGGAGACTGGGGTTTACCTGCACATCTCTTTTATAGCACTACCCACCCTCATAAATCTCACTCCTATCCGGGTCACGGCACCAACATAAGTGGTCCTCCCATAACTTCTAGCATCAGTCGCTAGTGCGACTCTTGAGGACAGGGGAGTGGGGTTTACCTGCACAGCTCTTTACAAGCAGTACTCACCCTCATATATCTCACTCCTTTCCGGGTCACGGCACCAACAAGTGGTCCTCCCATAACTTCTAAAATCAGTCGCTAGTGTGACCCTTGAGGACAGGGGAGTGGGGTTTACCTGCACAGCTGTTTATTAGCACTACTCACCCTCATAAATCTCACTCCTATCCGGGTCACGGCATCAACGAAAGTGGTCTTCCCATAACTTCTAGAATCAGTCGCTAGCGTGACTCTTGAGGACAGGGGAGTCGGGTTCACCTGCACAGCTATTTACTAGCACTACACACCCTCATAAATCTCACTCCTTTCCGGGTCACGGCACCAACGTAAGGGGTCTTCCCATAACTTCTAGCATCAGTTGCTAGTGTGACTCTTGAGGACAGGAGAGTGGGGTTTACCTGCACAGCTCTTTACTAGCACTACTCACCCTAATTAATCTCACTCCTATCCGGGTCACGGCACCAATGTAAGTGGTCCTCCCATAACTTCTTGCATCAGTCTCTAGTGTGACTCTTGAGGACAGGAGAGTTGGGTTTACCTGCACAGCTCTTTACTAGCACTACTCACCCTCATATATCTCACTCCTTTC